ACCGAGGTGATACGCAGTCTTCAAAGTCATCTACGACGCTGCGCACTCTCGGAGTCGGTCTGCTGGAAGTATCGCAGATCCTGCGGCAAGAGAAAGACGCCGAGCAGATTGTCAACATCTGGTCTCCGTCGTCGTGGCTTGAAGAGGGCGAGGGCCATGTTGATGGGTTTGACGGCTTGGTACGCACGCTGCTCCCAAGCCCCAGCGGGAAATACGTGAGATCTGAGCGCGCGGCTCGCATACATTTACACATGTATCCATTCGTGGACTCGGATTCCGACGCCCTGGTCCGAAAGAACCCAACCATTATGCACAACGTGATCCAAACGAAGCGGATCGGCTTCTCTCAAGCGCCATCGAAACCTCGGTCCGACATTTATGTGACCATTTCTCATGCCACCTTTCCCCCCGAAGCTCTTTTATCACATCCCCAGGCGGGCCAACTCCCGGTGCCGACAACTACGGGGCTTCGCAACCTGCAATTGACCCTCGAGGTGCGGGCGGCCTCTGGATCCCGAGTTGAGAAATGCATTTTCCCCTCGTCCAACAACGTAGCACACACCGCATGGCGAACTACGATTACGGAACGTGGCACGCCCTGGAACCAGACGATCCGTCTGAACGTGCCTACGGAGGACATACCAGGCGCTCATTTGATTATGAGCATTGCGGACGCTCCCGAGTTTCCTTTCGCCCTGGCATGGATGCCATTGTGGGACAACCAGGCGTTCATCCGCGACGGTCCTCATTCTCTGCTGCTGCATGCGTACGACAAGCACACGTCCAGCATCGAGAACGGCAAGGGTGCCTACCTGTCCCTCCCATGGAGCTCACTCGGCAAGAACGAATCGGCCAAGGATGAAGCGATTACTGGGCCGCTGGCCACCCTGCGCTTGGAGACTTACCTGTGTAGCACTGAATACTCGCAGGACCAGGTAATTCTGAGCTTGCTGCATTGGAAGGACCGGCCGGTAGATGAGGTCTTGGATACCTTGAAGAGGGTTCTGTTTGTGCCTGAGATTGAGATCGTCAAGCAGCTGAGCAGTGTGTTTGATGCGCTATTTGGAATCCTGGTGGAAAATGCCGGAAATGAGGAGTACGAAGACCTGATATTCAACAATCTTGTGACCGTTCTTGGTATCGTCCATGACCGACGGTTCAACCTTGGCCCGCTGGTTGACCACTATGCGGACAAGCAATTCAATTTCCCCTTCGCTACCCCCTGCCTGATGCGAAGCTATCTCCGCCTCCTTCAGGCTAGTGCCGATGTGCAACAGTCGCGGAGTCTGCGTGCCACATTCAAGGTCGGCCGACATGTCCTCAAGTTCATCATCAATGCCAGGCAGCAGCAAAAGGCCAAGGAGGAAGGCATCGGTATCACTCGCGTGCAGTCCACTTTCAACCGGGACTTGCACACCATCTTCAAATCTCTGGAAGTCCTCATGAGGAATCCGTCACCGGCCATGGTTGGCAGCAAGACGCTTGTGGTGCAGCATTTCCACACGTGGCTTCCGGGGCTATCCAAAGTCATTAGCAAAGACGAGATCATCATGATTGCGCTCAGCTTTATGGACTCTTGCAGCGACGTCAAGGGTCTTCTGATACTGTACAAGTTGGTCCTGATACAGCACTACACGCAGCTGGAGATATTCGAATCCGGACCAGAAAGACGGACTTTGATCTCCAGTTGCATTGGCTGGCTGAAACCGTACTGGGGAGCCACCGGATCCATCACCGACCAATATCGCGATCAGGTTCGGTTGAGTTGCGCGATCGTGGCCCAGCTTCTGAAGCAGCCAGATCCGTTGTTGTACGGTTTCATGCCACAGATCGTCTCGTCATACTATTCAATCATACCGGATGGCGTGGAGGAGACTAGCTATCTGTCTCTTCTCTTCAGCAAGTCGTTCCCGTTCCAGGTCAAGGCCTCGAAAACCAGCCAGAAATTCGATGAGGCACTGGTCGAATTGTCAGCGATTATGGCTGCCACAGCAACGATCCCCAAGCCGAAGAAGCCGTCACTTAAGGGTCCCGAGCTTGCTACGTTTATTTCGCAAGCGTTAGAGGTTCACAATTCCGTTTTGAACTGCGAAGCATATCCTGAGAGTTGGTTCAGTGTGCATGTGTACAATCACCGAGCTACCGTAAAGAGTCTGGAATACCTCGCTACATTACTGACCAGCAAGTTTTTGCCCGCGCCGGATGACGCAGAGAGCTTTGATACGAGGTTGTGGGAAAGCTTCTTCATGACTTTGCTCAAGGTTGTGTCCAGTGATGCACTGGCCTTGGAAACATTCCCCGAGCAGAAACGAAGGGCTGTCTGGAAGATCGCAGGCGACGTTCGTGAGCAGGGAGCAGAGCTGCTGCGCTCCAGCTGGGAGGCCATCGGTTGGGAAACGACAGATGAGGACCGGGAACGGTATGGGCTGCGCAAGCTCGGCGGCTACCAGGTTCAATATGTGCCTGGCCTCGTGGCACCGATCATCGGACTCTGCCTCAGTGTACACGAGGGATTACGGCATGTCGCGGTGGAAATCTTACGGACCATGATTCTGAGCGAATGGGGTCTGAACCAAGAGCTTTCCATCGTCGAGACTGAAATCATATCCAGCCTGGATCATCTCTTCAAAACAAAGAAGATGAACGAGAGCATTATCCAGAAGCTGTTCGTCAGCGAACTCCTCGAATACTTTGAGGGCTGCGCTGCCTTGGACGAGGACCTCTCCGATGCCGTCAAAGGTCTCATCGCGACCGTCGACGAGCTTTTGGATCTGTTTGTCGCATCGCAGAGCGGCTCGATGGCCGAAAGTATGCATACATTGAGGTTGATGGAATATATGAAGGATATGGGCCGGGAAGACATCTTCATTCGCTATGTGCATGAATTAGCGGACGTACAGGCGGCGGCGGGCAACTTCACCGAAGCCGGTCTCGCCCTCCAGTTCCACGCCGATCTCTACGATTGGGACCCGAGGCGAGTAGTTCCCGAGGTCCTTGACCCTCCATTCCCCGAGCAGACGGCATTCGAACGCAAGGAATCGCTGTATTTTGCCATCATCCAGCATTTCGAGGACGCCACAGCCTGGGCCCATGCGCTTGTCTGCTACAAAGAGCTCGCGGAGCAGTACGAGCACACGGTGATGGATTTCGCCAAGCTTTCGCGCGCGCAAAGCTCGATGGCCAAGATCCACGAATCCATTGCCAAGGAGGAGAAGCAGTTCCCTCGCTATTTCCGTGTGGTCTACAAGGGGCTTGGGTTCCCACCTACCTTGAGGGACAAGCAATTTATCTTTGAGGGTGCGCCGAATGAAAGAATGGCTAGCTTTGTTGACCGGATGCAGCGAGAGCATCCTGCGGCGCAGATTGTCTCTTCTGGCGAGGTGCAAGACTACGAAGGTCAATTCTTGCAGATCACCTCTGTCAGCGCGCACCGGGATATGACGCATCCGGTCTACCAACGGTCGAAAATTCCACAGGCCGTCAGGGATCATCTGTTGATCTCGGAACCGTCTCAGTTCTCCTCGACGTTGAAGAGACACGTCCGCGGCACGGATGTGCAGGAGCAATGGGTGGAGAAGACGATCTTTACGACCGCCGAGCCGTTCCCGAACATCCTCCGCCGGAGTGAGATTGTCGCCGTGGAGGAGGTTGCGTTGTCACCGCTGCAGACGGCCGTCGAGCGAACGTGGCGTAAAACGCAGGAACTGTTGTTGCTTGAGCGACGAGCTGCCTCAGGCGAGGATCAGGGCCTGTCCAGTCTGACGGAGGCGCTGCAGCAGCTGCTTGACCTCAACTCTTCTTCGGCCAGTTGCGTGGCCCTCTACCGTCAATTCCTGGCGGAAGCTGACGAGGACGACACTGAAAAGGTCGAGGAGTCGGCCGACCCGATGAAGAATGCTCTGGCCGTGGCTCTCATCGACCATGCCTTGGCCATTAAGCATGCTCTTGCGCTGTATGCCCGTCCGGCGCACCAGGCCACGCAAGCCGAACTCATGCGTCAATTCGAGGAAGCTTTTGCCCCGGAACTCGTCTCTCTCAGTCCTGTGGCGGTCGAGAGCCCGGCAACTCAACGGCAGTCTCCGGTTTCCGCAGAAAGCCGGCAAAAGCAATCGCAGTCGCGCTCCATCAGTCCCCGCCACCACGTTCGTAAGCCTTCGGAGAAACCGTCCGTCAGCCAACGGATTAGCATTATGAACCCTTTCAAACGAGCGAACCACGCACCGAACGGGTCAGTGGCCACCGTGATTGACATGAAGACGGAGGGAAAAGACCATGATGATGATACTGCAACAATCCACAGTCGAACCACCGCTCAGTCCGGGACGACTCATACGAAACGCCGGAGCTTCTTTGGGGAGATGGTCCACAAGCATGGCTCATCCATTGCAGCCTCTACGGAGGACGTACAAGAACAGCTATCGAGAAGCGGTTCACGCTCGCAGGACAACCGCAGTCGGAGCGGGTCCCAACACCACGGGCGGTCTGGGGACGATTCTATCACCAGCATCAAGGGGGGCGGGGTGGCCAGAGCCACTTCTGTCAGAGACAACCACTCGGTGCGGTCTTCTGACCGCAGTCAGGTCGGATCGCCCGGCGGCCATTCATATAGCCAGTCTCACAGCGGAGGCGTCCGCGACTCTGTGATGAAGAGGTTGAGCCTCTTCAAGGGAGTGGGTCGCAAGACCAGTCGTCTGGAGATCCGACCCGAGACGAACGGCGTTCTTCATGAAGAATAATCAATCCTTATCATAATGTCTGGACATTACTCCTTTCTTTTTCGTCTGTCAGTTATATGCATCTGCACATGAGCAGGCAATATGCATTTAGCGTTCTTTTACGCAGCTGAGATCATTCGTTCTACCTTTTCTACGTGGATACACTTGTTTTCGTCTTTTTTGTCATGATTGATACCTTCCCTAGATACCTCTGCAATTATAGCAAATAATGGATTGTCTTGGTTGCTTTAGAAACGGCTGTACGTACCCGTAGATATATTTAGGTCAGGAAGCAACCGGTAAATCCAAATCCACCACCCACGGCGCATTCACTGCCCTATACCGCTCATCCAGCACACTGGCATTCACAAACAGCGTTTCCTCCCCAAACCGCAGCGGACGCCCGGAGTCAGCGCTAACATCCACATACGCCCCCCGCTCCTCGCGCACCTTGTCTGGATCGCACACCACCTTCGTCCCTCCCAGCGTCATATCCGCCCCCCACTCACCTCGCAGCGCACCATACCCCTCATGGATATGCCCAAAGACATGCACCCGCGGCCTCGCCCGCTTCACAGCAGCAAACAACCCCTCGCAGCCTACACTCCCGCCGTTAACGACCGTATCAAGCACTCCCGCCGGCGGACCATGCGTGATCATGATATCCACAGAAGGGAAGTCGGGCACCACACCACCCGCCGCATCCGCGCCCGCAGAACCAGAACCAGAACCAGAAGCTGAAGCTGAAGCTGCTGTCTCCTCCGGAAGGGGATTAAATCTATCCCTGCCCCGGGGATACGCAAACGCCCACCCGCAAAACGCAGGCGTATACGGCGACGCAAACACCCTCAACTTCGCCCCTGTACTCAGGCTAAAACAGTGCACTCCCTCGGTTAAGTAGCGTATCCCTGCGTCGTACGCTTCAGGACCGCAATAGAGCTGTTTTATGGCTGCGGGGTCCTCTCGTCCGGCCCGGGTTTTGAAACTGCTTGGAGGGAGGGCGGCGTAGTAGGCCTCGTCGAGGGTGATGTCGTGGTTGCCGGCGATGATGAGTTTGAGTTCTGCGGGGTGGGACTTGAGGGTTGCTAGGGTGGTTGCGTGTTCTTTGTAGCTGCCGATTGTTGTGAGGTCGCCAGAGTGGATGAGGATGTGCGCTTCTGGGAGAGGGTGCCGGTAGGGGTGCGGGGAGGGAGGGGGGTGAGGGGGTGTGTTGTGGGTGTCTGATATCAAGAGGAGGCGGGTTTTTATTGTTTTATTGTCCATGGCTGTAGTCAGTGGATGGTTGAGGAGTGTAGAGTGAAGATGGTTGTTGTAGTTCAAGTGCATGGGCGGAGTCAATTTGAATTCCGGTTGCCTGGTCCTGGTCGGTGTACGTCAGATGGGAAAGTTCTACTGGACTAACCATTAAACTATTTTGAATAACGTAAGGATCATCCCATTGATTGACAGCTCAGAGCTCTACAGACATTGCATATGCCGATGCCCAGATCATGATATTTTCTGGAAAACATTGCTGAAACTCCGAAACCACCCTTTTACACAACACGCAAGCGCAATACCCCAAATAAATTTTTCTTTTTACTTGCGGATAGCACGCTGGTAGAAAGCCAGCTCATCACCCTCCAGGATGTAACCGTCGACACGACCGCTCTGGCCGGGGCGGGAGGCGATGACGGCGTACAGACGACCGGACTCGAACTGCTTCTCGATGGCGGCCTCGACCTTGCCGTGGTCGGCGAAGCGAGCAGCCTGCTTCTTCACGACGCTGTTGCTCTTCTTCTCGGTGGTGGTCTCGGCGGTCTTCTGCTGGCGTCTCCGGCCGATGGGCTGGCCGTAGTGAGCCTCGTACCATTGTCTGAAGGGAGCGGCATCAATCTGAACGACGGCGGACTTGGTCAGGGTGTTGGTGCGGACCAGTTCGTTGTTGGAGGGGTGGTAGGCCACAACGATGACACGGGTCTTGCGGGAGATGCCCTCGGAACCCCACGAGAAGTTGCCCGACTCGAGACGGAGGGCACGGAACTTGCGGTTACCACCACGGGTGCGGACCAGGTGGATTCTCTTAGCACCGATACGGGTGTTGGCGGGCTGGCGACCCTTCTCGAACGCCCTGCAGTATTTATTGTCAGAGATGTCAGAAAAAGGATGACTTGGGGGTCATACCTCTTCTTGCGGTAGGTGGCCCTCTTCGCACCGGTGGCCGAACGCTTGTGGCGGGAGTCGCGTGAGATACCCATGTTTGCGGTTGATGTAGGGAACTATCGTATCCAGTCAGCCAGGTAATTCGTCTCCTGTGTCTGCCTTCAATTTCTTCCGTTGGTTTCGTAGAAGTCCCAGGTCCTGATATCGAGTGCCTCGCAAGTGTCGTCAAACGAAACAGTGTCCAACCAACAGTCGTAACCAGCAGTCGTCAACCAAGCAGCGGAAAAAAACCAAGATCGCTGTCCTTGACTTCCTTGATGAATCCGTTGTCTTCTGTTGTTGCCCTTTTCCGACTCAATTTTGACCGCAATCACCGACGAATTTTCACGATGCACCGACGACCGAAAGCCGGAAGAAATTGAAAGACAGAATGCAAGCAAGCAACAGGTTGAAACTCACCTCTAACTCTGCAGCCCTTCACCAGGAACGCAGCGGGCAAGGGTCGTTGGGTTGTCGTGGAGTTGATGTTGCTGGTCGTCGACGCTCGGGAATTTCGCAGTGTGGCTCACTGGCTCTTGGCTCGCTTGTCGATTCTTGCCCTACCCCAAAGTGCGCGCTAGCCTAAAGGGGTGGGCACGTGACATACCATTACTCCACTCTTCATAAACACTAGAAGTCTAGGACAGAATGAATTATGATCGAGCTACGGAGTACAATAACATCCTACTAACTATGGTGGTGTCGATTAATCACTCCTCCGCTCCCTCTTCATCCGCTCCTCCCTCACCATCTCATCAAACCGCCGCCACACTGGAAACCCTTCCACGAAATTCGACACAATCCACGCAACCCACAACCCAGACGCAACCCGCACCCCATGCGGCCTCAACCTCTTAATCGCCAACAGCGTCGCCTCCACCAAATGCACGCCTAGCAATAACCCAACCACCACCGGCGCAACATCGTAGCAGAACCGCGTAAACACCGGATGCCGGTCCAAGCCCACCGTCTCGTAGAATGCACTCCCCGGCAGGAAATTGCTCCGCCGACCAAACACCACCAGCGTAGCGACCACCAGGGCTAGCGAGACGATCTGGAGCCCCTGCGGGGGCCGGTACTCGGCGATGGTAATGTCGGAGAGGCCGAGGCGCTGCAGAGAGTCCTTGTGCATGGCGACGACGCGGGCGCGGGCTTCGGCAAAGGAGGTCATGGGTGGGTTGATGGGGACGCTGTAGCGGGTTCCTTTTGCGGTGATGAGGAGGTCGGAGTGGGAGATGTCTTGGAGGATGGCGGGATGGGCGAAGTGGGCGGAGACGCCGCAGTAGGCGCGTAGGTAGAGAGAGAGCGTGTCGGCATGGCTGGTGTTCATATGCTTGATGATGAAGGATTTGGTGGGTGCAGCTGCGTCGGTTGCCATTTCGTCTCTCTCAAACTGAGCGCGGTGGATGAGGTGTTGAGTGTTGATGATTAACTCCTTATCTTGTAGAGAGGTACTCTAGAGATGATCAGCAACGTACCTCGGCTGAGATTAACTGCTGTTGATTCACCATGTGTAGCACTTACCCAGGTCAGATTTGAGATTTGCACGGTTGCACCGTTAACAGGCTTCAGAGAGTCCGTTTGCGATAGATGTCTGGTCAATTGATGTTGACAGCTGTCGCATGATGCGATTCCAATATATATCACGTGAGCGATGAGCGTCTGATACATATCTTAGACTCGAACTGTAGTACAGCTTCAAGTGTAAACATTCAATTCTCTCAAATCTCTTTTTGTGGTATTCGAGCTGAAAGCATCATTATGTTCATAGACAGAGGATTATCGATTTCGATTATCGCCCGTCCTACGTCCTGTACTTGACAAGGACTACTCTGGGGATGTTGCAATCCCATACTTTATTGAATTGACGCATACGCTAAGATATCACAAACATCCATAGTGACACCAGTTCAACACAAAGGATCACGCTGAGTATTAAAGGGTAACCAGACTCTATTGGCAACATGACAAAGTAAAGCTATTCAATCGTGACGGATCATCATGGCTCGTGAGGATGACAGGGCAGTATGGCTGCCAGGCAAGAACATTATGCACTGCATCGAGCGTCAACTCCTATTCGAATTGAGCGGGTGAATGGAATATCAGGGGCAACAGGGGAGAAACATACATCAAAGCCAGCGTCAGATCACCGTGGATATGAGCCTTGAGCTCGACCTCGATCTCGAGATTCAGCTCCAACTTGAGCTTCATGCCTTCTTCGTCGTCCAGACTCGACCCCTGCTTCTGCTGCGGTATCACGTTCATCGACCCGTTCTGGGAGAGGGATTGGTTGCCGCCGGCGGGTTGGTATGGCTGCATTGCCTTGCCGGAGGCGACTTGGTTATCGTAGTCTTCATCCTCGTCGTCGTATTCATCAGAGTAATAGTCATCTTCGTCGGAGTAGTCCTCATCATCTGCTTCTTCTACGGCGTCTGGTTGTCTGCTTCGTTGTTGTTTTTGTTGTTGTTGGCGCTGACGACGTTTCGCCTGAGCCTTGGGATCCTCTGCTTCTGCTTCATCGCCGGAGACCTCGTAGTCTTCGGTTTCGTAGTCTTCATCGGAGTAGTCGTCCGAGTAGTCATCTGAGTAATCGTCTTGCTGGAGGGTGGGCTGCTTTTGCTGTTCTTTTGTTTTCTCTGCGGTGGCCATTTTGTATATTTTCGAGGCGGGAGAGGTATATAGTTGCAGTCAAGTATATAGTCACAATGAAGACTGTCAAGGTGTAAACAGAATGAAAAGCAGAATAGAATGACTTAGTCAACAGTTAAAAGGAAGAAGAACTGGTAGTATGTTACTCGAACAAACCAGTCTACGCATAGACAAGCCTACACCACACATCGTCATCATCATAAGGATAAGCGGTGATACTTGATCGGAGCCGAGAAGCCACCTACGCGATGGAGTTGGGCCCTTGGATGTGCCGTGCATGACGTTACGGCGTTATTATCCTGTCGGTTTCATAATATAATTGGATACTACTGACTCAGTAATTATTAATTATGACTGACTGGTATAGGTAATAATTACTTTAGTATGATATGAGAGGATCCGCTCACTCTTCTGTACACCTCAGGGACTCCGCTTGCATCGATGTATCCATGGACCAGGAAAGGTCAAACGTGCTATGAGAGCAGAAGAATCTTCGCGTGCTCGGTACCATTCGATTTGTTCTGTGGTGCAAAGTATTGTCAACCGACCATCCACGGCTAAGTCTTCCATCAATTTCCCTCTACAGTAACAAAGGTTATACCTAGGACACGTACCTCTGCACTACAGTCGATGTAGCCTGACGTCGAGTGGCGTCATTATGCGCTTCATATATCCGTTTTTTCCTCTCTAATATAATAATAGCACCAAGTGGAGCAGCCAACCACACTATCTCGTGCCAAAATTCTCCGAGCGTCTCGCTATTGATTCGCTTGACTTTCTCCATCCCTGACATCTGGCGCTACTCCAGACACTATGACTAGCTTGGACTTGGACTGGAGTAACTAGTACGCTACGTCGTACAGCCCTGCATCTAGACGTCATACTGAACAATCACTTGTTTATGCTCTGTATCCATATGGTGTGTATGTGTGTAATGTATGATGGTATCCAATCTATCTCAGTCCAAGATGACGCCGAACCAGTCTCTCTACCTGTCATGTCCAGCAACTGACGTACGAGGCGGACTGCCCGGTTTCCCACAGCCATCCACTGTCCCAATCATCTCTTCCATATAAACGACTCCCCAGACCAAGACCAGACCAAGAGTATAAACATCGTCATCCCCTCCATCTTCCCATCATTCTAGTCTCTTTCTTTTTCTTCCACCATGTCCGATCAGGAAAGCAACAGTCGTCCTTCTAGTCCGACTCCGAACCCAACCCAGACAGAAGAGGGTGCCCCTCCAACACCTAAGACAGATACCCAGACCCCGACAAAGAAGCCTCCAAAGCTAGGCAAGAAGAAGCAGCAGCAGCAGCAGCAGCAGCAGCAGGAGTCTAAGCCTCAGCCTGAACCTGAACCTGAACCAGCACAAGAGCCAGAACAACAAGAAGAAAACAAAGAGGATCCTCCGGACAACACCAAGGAAGATCCTCAACCTCAAGGAGATACCAACGACGCCAACGCCAACGGCGAAGCCACAGAACAAGACCAAGAGCAAGAACAACCACAACAACAAGAACAACCACAACAACAAGAACAACCCCGCCCCCGCAGAAGAAAACCCCAACCTCAGAGATACCGCCCCGACTCAGACACAGAAAGCATCCCCCGCCCCGAAATGGACAACAACAACACCGCAATGGAGAAGCCCCGCCGCCGCCGCCAGCGTCCCCAGATGCAACAACAACAGCAACAAGACGGCGGCCCACTGGGCGGCCTCGGCGGCGTGAACCAGGTTGGCGATCTCGTGCAGAACACCGCAGGCAACGCGGTGAACGGTGTGACGGGGTCAGCGGGCAAAGCCGTGGGCGGGCTGCTGGGTGGGAACAAAGAGGAGAAAGAGGATGGGCGAGACGAGCAGTTGCGGCTAAGGCTGGATCTAAATCTGGATATTGAGGTGCAGCTCAAGGCGAAGATTCATGGTGATTTGACGCTGGGATTATTGTATGTCTTTTCCTTTTCCTTCCCTGATGATATGATGTGGGTGCTAACATGTTTGTCTAGGAACTGATTTCTTCTCCTCTTCTTCTTCGTTTCCTCTGGTTTTCTGCTGATGCAAAACTAGACTGTTATGATGGTATTGTCTCGTCTTGACTTGACTTGGTTGATTTGCTTCGCTGGAGCTGTTGTGTTTCTATCCTATCTACATATTCAGCTGCATGCAGTAGCTTAGCTTCTATACCACATGGCACTCATGACTAATGACATTACATGACCACTGACTATCCAAGAAGCAACGTGTAAATACTCTAAGCTATCTGTATGCATACCATCTAAACTTCCTACAACCCCGCAATATACATCAATCCATACCCAATCGTCACAATCACCGCCCACGACATCAAACTGGCGGGGATACCGCGAGTGAAGAAATGTCGCACGTGGAGGTACCGTTGACCCGTCTGTGGGACCTCGGTCATAATAGCAGCTGTACATGTTAGTTAACATTATCAACCGAGGGGGAGGTTACAAGGGCATACTCATATTGGGAAACCCGCTGGTCGGCAATGCCATAGCCACCGAACACATCAATGCACTCGCCATCACCAGCAAGTTCGGATGCGGGTCGTCCATGCCCACGCCTATCTGGCGCACCAGCGGCAGCATGATCAGCGCTGCAACCGTATGCGAGATAAATGTCGCCATGACCAGGATCAGCGCCGAAAACACGAGCAGAACCCCGTACAGACTGAAGTGGTCGACGCGCGCCGTGATCGCCTTGGCGATCGTGTGCAGCAGCCCGGACGAGGTCACAGCTTTGCCGAGACACAGACCCCCAGCCGCGAGGATGATGATCGTCCACAAGAAGTTGTTGAAGTCTTCCTTGTTCAGGATCCCCGTGCCAAAGAACAGCACCATCGGGATGATGGCGATCACGCCCATATCCCCAAAGACGTGCTCGAGCTGATGGCTGGCACACCACAGCCCGATGGTGGACAGCGTCACAATTGTGACAAAGTACTGCACTCCCGAGAATCGGTCCTTGACCGGTCTAATCGGCACAATGGTCGTGCCCCGGCCGGGCTTGAACGTCGCCAGTAAGAGCAGCCAAATCAAAAGGATCGAAATGATGCAGACTGGCAGAGAGATAAAGAACCAGGTTCCCCAGCTGATACTCGGGTACATGTTCTGCAGCGCGATGATATTCTGGGGCGACGCTATCGGCGACGCGGCGCCTCCAACATTAGCAGCCAGCGCAATACCCAGCACAAGGGCCTTGGCAAAGTTGGAATCAGGAGGAAGATTACGCAGTAGGGGCTGAGAGGTTAGCATTTTCCAAGACAAATATCCTCCCCTGGAAAAGGAGACCTACCTGGATAATGGAGTAGCAAAGGACAGGCGAGGCCACATTGCTGATCCACATACTAAGGAACATGCTCACAAACATGTTCGTCAGCAGAACTACTTTGGGATTGGATCCGGCTCTGCTCAGTACAAACATGGCCATCCGCCGAGCAATGTCGTACTTGGACAACGCAGCGGCGATGGTGAAGCCGCCCAGTAGGAGCATGATCACCGGCGTCCACATCGCGCTGAAAGCCGCGCCAGTGGCGTCCTTCGGGCCCAGACGGTGGTAAGGCTTCTCTGCGGACTTCATAATGCGCAACATGACAACCAGGAAGGGTATCAAGAGGGACGTCACAAAGAGGGGAATGACCTCCGTGGCCCACAACAGACTGACAAACACAAGCATGGCCAGACAGTTCTGCTGCTCCGGTTTATCCATAATCGGAGCATAGAGCAAGATGATAAACACCGCCAGGACGACAATCAGAGTCCCGAAACTCAAGCTGCAGAGCCACTCGGGCACGCTATAGCGACCAAACGGCGTCTTGATCTCTTTGGCTGCAGCCTCCTGCTCATCGCCCTGTCGTCGTGCGGCGGCCGGGTCCTCATCCATTCCCAGCAGTGTCCGACGAATGCCAACATTCGCAGCCTGGGCCTTGCGCTCAATACCAATCATCTCTCGCCAGACTGTATTACGCTCCCAGACAACGTGCTCTCTGAGGTGCAATCGCAGCTCCCGTTTGGCCAGCGGCAGGTCGCCGCCCGTAATCAAGTCCGCGTAGAGCTGCTCGATCCGGGCGATCACGTCCTCGATCTTCTTCATGGTCGAATCCGTAAACGGATACGCTGGAGATACGGTGGAGCTCATGTACTCGCGCCGCAAATTGCAGTCGAGGATCTTGTCAAACTTCTTCAACGCCTTGGAGAACCCGGTCTTGTTCAGCTGGATGTACGACTTGAGTCCGCACAGCGAGACATAGACATTCACGGCCCGCTGCCTCAGCGACAAGCCCTCGTTGTACAGGTCCAAAAACCGTGGATCCCTGCAATGTTCATCATGCCCACCGCTCCCTCGTCGATCAAACCCCAGAGTCCTCGAGTCAGCCATGAATCTCGCATCGCTCAGGTCCGAGCGCGACCGACCCGTCGACGGCACCACTCTCTGCCCGGTCGGCGGCTGATGCTCGTCATCGCTATCCGCTCCATCATCGTCATCTTCTGTCTCCTCCGACGGGAAATCGCGGTACGAGCCGCCCGTGCGCAGGCGCGAGCGAGAGCTAGAGCTCATCCTCCGCGACTTGATCATAGCGTCACTCATGGGGTCCACGTCCGCCACGTCCGTCTTGGACGAGTACTCCTCCGCATCGCGGACAACATCCTCCACCTCCTTGAGTATCTCCGACTCCTTGACTTCGTAGAAACTGCATATCTTCTCCAGCTCCGCGTTCAGAGCCCGCCGGAACACCGCCTCGGGCGTGGGTGTCTCGCTTAACAGCGGTGCGGACTCGACATCTGATTGTGCCTGTCCGTTTGCTTTCCGAGCTTGCTGTTCGAGCGAATATATCCTGTACGCATTAGCATTAGCTGGAGCAATATACCACAGTGTAATAACTCACAATTTCTTCAAATTACTATACGCAATGTAATAAGCACTCCAATCCGGCACCGCATTGAACTGAATACTATGCGAGAACTTCATCTTTGCTGTCCTTTGTCCCCCCGCACTTTCTTTTGGAGTTTGTCGACGCCGGAGAGCCTCTACCCAAAACCGGACCCTGAGGTTGTTCGCTCTGTGGTCTTGACCGCTCTTTTCACCCGGCTGCGAGTACTTCTCGCTCTCCTTTACCTGTTCGTGCGAGTCCGACTCGAGGGAAACAAAATGTTTGGAGCTAGTGCGTTCGCGTGTTACAAGCGGGTAGCGACTGCGGGTGTGAAACTCTTCAAGCTCGAAGCTTTGATCGTGGCCGTTGTGTTCGAGTTCGTGTTCGTAGGCACCAGTCGCAGATGCGATGCGTGCCACGGTGCGCCCAACAGCATTCGACGACACGGTTTCGACTGGAGAAGAATTTTGGGAGAAAAAAAAAGAAAAGACTCCGAAGTTGGGACTAGACCTATTGATAATGGGTCGTTAGTGGTAGGTGAGCTGGAGCTGAAGCTGGACTGCGGCGTCTGGGCTGGGTCGAGTCCCCGCAGAGCTGCTGTGCGGGTGATATGAGTGGTTGCCTCGTTGGACAAAGGACAAACCGGCGCGGAGGTTGAAGGATTGGGGCTTTGGTGTCCGTTTGTGGGGTGCGAGCATCACTTTGATTGTAAAGATGAGAAGGTCAGATGAAGATATTGTGAGGATAATGCTGGTCGATAGTACATAGAATAATGACTACGTTTACTCCGTAGGCTGCCAGGGTGCCTTGCAGCAGACTCAGAAGTTGCCTGATCGGGGATAGCGAGAATTTAGTCATCCACAGTCACGATACGGGATGAGGAAAAGATAATTTACAATTGCTGATAGCCTAAAATACAATGCATGAATAAATAGATATCACTTATTTACCTGCGCTGGGTGACCAGACCAAGATTCGAACGACCCGCGATACCAAGCTTGTGCACCGCTTCCCTCCGATCCCACACTCCACTACGACCTTCCGCAACAGCGACCAGCTCGTGAGCGACTCGCTGAGCGAAACTGCTGTCCCGCCGCTTATCAGAGGCATCGATGATCCATCTGATAGCCGTCCGCCGCCGCTGTCTCTGCATCAAAGGAACGGGAATCTGCACGGCGGCACCACCACCGGCAATACCCTTCTGCTGACGGATCTTGATCAGAGGTGCGACCGAGTCGACAATCAAGGTGAGGTAGAGGACGGGGTTCAGAGGGAGTTGAGGGCCAGGAGGACCAGGGAGGAGAGGGCGCTTCGGGTGCGGTTGGGGGGGAGGGGCAGTTCGAAGGTGGTCAAGGATGAAAGACATGTTCTGAACATCAACTAGATTAGCACTGGCCACCTGCCGAATTCCGAGCGATGTACAAACCTTCTGGGCCTTGCTCAACTTCCCGTCCCGCATAAGCAATTTCGTAAACTGCTCCAGCAACGGATCATATCTCTCGCGGAAATTCTCCGTCTTGGGAAGACTCTCGGGCGCGGGAAACTTCAGTCCGGGGTGCAGCTCCGCGACGTCCTGGTTCACCTGGTTGATCATATTGGCGACAACGGCCACCGAGGGATCCGTCACATCCTGACCCTGTAGGTCGGGCTGGTAGCGGCGTGTGAAGGTCGAGAAGGACCGGTTGCCAGACGATCGCTTCAGCTGGTCTTGCATCACCTTGGGCATGTGCTTCAGGGCGTCTTTATCGCGCTGCAGGATCTACACCCACAGTAAAATTAGCACCCCGACGAACAGTATCCATAAAAGGGAGAAACCTACCTCAGCGACGGGAGTCCCCTGCTCCAACTCCGGGCTGGCAGCAGCCTCATACTTCCCACCGTGCAGGATCTTGTCCATCTGCGCGGCCTCCTCACTGACGTGGGGCAACGGATCTTCCGTAGGCCCTTTTAACACATCCAATTCGTCCTTCTTCTCTGATTTCGATGAGTTCCATCGTCTCTGTGCTTGAACGGTCGATGCGGCATGAGGCCGGTTGATACTGAAACGCGAGCTGACCGCGGATGAGGTGGATGGGCGAAAGCCAGGCAAGGCCTTACCCACTGTGAAAAGATTGATACGAGGCGGCATGTTGATTCTCCTCGATGCCTGAAATCGACAGACTGTATTTCGAGGGAGAGTGTTCAATTGCCCTCCTTCGTCCCTTGGCTTCGTCGGAGCCGCGAAGAACGATTTTCCTCTCCACTGTTGCTTAGTCATCTATGCCAAGACTCCCTATTCTAGCATGAAGTCATTCATCATTATTTCAGATATGGCCAACAGTTCTACAAGAGTGTTTGCGGCCAGTTGTGGCTAGAGTAAGGTTTACGATGTAGCGGTTTACATAAAAACGGTGGCACCCAGGCCAGCCCAGTCATTTTGCCATCCCAAGTACACCACATGAAGAGAACATCGAATTAAAAAAAATACAAAATACAGGGTAGTCAGAACCCCCGACCAGCAGTATTTACCCAGTTAGTGCAATAGGAAAAGGAGTAGCTTGGCAACAAAGTCAGAGAGCGCGAGGCCCAAACCAAGGACATCAATACTGATTCCCGGTCTGGAAGGTTGGCAGAGCGACTTGGTCGCTTAATTGGCAATAAGAGCATCGCCAGTAGGATCATCTGGGTAGACGTAGAACGCTAGCGCTAGGATCAGATACCTATGGCGCGGAAAGTTAGAAACTGGCTCATAGATCGAGAGGAGAGCGGACAACTTACATTCCCAAGCAAAGCCCACCCTCGAGATAATTGGACTTGCCGTCTTGGATGAGGAAGGTCACAACCAAGCTGGAGATGAAGAAGGCGACAGTTTCAAAGATGTGGAAGTTGAGAGTCATCTCAACGTTTAGGATCCAGCCCATGATGACAAGGAACGGTGTCACGAACAATGCGATCTGCAAGCTACTGCCGACGGCTACGCCGATAGCCAAATCCATCTTTCCTTTCCATGCGACGACGACGGCGGTGACATGCTCCGCAGCATTTCCAACAATGGGAATCAAGATAAGACCGATGAAGGTCCGGCTCATGCCGGTCTTCTCCACGATGCTGTCGATGCTTCCAACCAGGTAGTCGGCACAGATGGCGACAAGAATCGTGACGACAACCAGAGCAATGGTGGCGGCCAATGGGCTCAGAATATGATGCTCCTCCTCTTCTTCATGGTCCGCCTGATTCTCTGTATCGGGTCCCAGTCCGTCTTGAACCTCCTCAAACAGCTTTGTGTGCGTCTTGAGCTGGAAGTACAGGTACATGACGTATAAAACCAGGAGAATGATGGCGGTACCGTGCGAAAGAATCAGGATATTATTATCCGTCGTAGCTTTGGAGTGGGATGGTGACAGAGAGGCGTAGAGGGTGGCCGGAATGATCAACGAAGCAGAGGCAACCGTCATCATGGACGACATGGTGGACGCGACAGTACTGTTGAATGTCTGCTCGGAAAACCGGAGCCCACCAATGAAGAAACAGCATCCGAGCACAAGCAGGATGTTCGACAGGATACTGCCCAGCATGCTTGCCTGGACGACACGGATCTGGTTGTCCTTCAAAGCGATGATGCTGACCTACCATTGTCCTCAAAGTCAGCTATAGTTAAGCACAAAACGACTCGAACGGATAAACCCACAATCAGTTCGACCGCATTCCCGAAAGTAGCATTCATCAGTCCACCCAACGCCTGTCCCATAGTAGCCGCCAGTTCCTCAGTCGCAAAGCTCAGCAGAGACGCCAATGGGATGATCGCCAGGAAGTTCAACGAGAAGACAACCGTGCTGTCCCAGTGAAGCGCACCGGAGATGATACCAAGAGGCACAAACACGAGCAGCACGTTGACGTAGTCCCGCACGAGGGTCTCCCAGGTCAAGTGCATGACCTGCGCTGGGATGTTCAGCCAGCGTGGTCCACGTTTGTGGTGCCGATGCTGGCTCATGCCTGAATTGATGCGGGGAATATCATTGATCAGAGCATCCCGCTCATTGGGCTCTCCAACCCCGTTTGGAGAAGAAGAGAAGCCGGTCATACTGCGTTTTTTGGGGCCCCACGAGTGCCTGCGGAAGGCTGAACGGAAATTCCTCGCTGCTGCTGTATCAGATTCGACAGATCCGATTAGCCAAATTTCTTACAAGATTCGTCTCACTATTCTCTGCGGAAAGATTGTTCAAAAATTAAAAGAAAGACTGCTTGATAGACGAAAGAGGGCAAGGAGAGACTTAGAAAATGAAAAAGGATTTTACGGAATAGACGGAAGATACTCCGTATGATAAAAGAGGAAAAACGAGGGAATGAAGAATGGAAGTCACAAGTGGGGAGTTAAGAGAGAAAGGAAAAAGTGTAATACTTCCTGCGTAGTAGCAGTAGCAGTGGTGATGGAGATGATGATGAAGGTGTGGCACCTACACATTGGGATCCGACAGTGGCGCGGAAAACGACCAGGGAACGGCGGTAGGACTGGGGAAAAAAGTGGGTTAATCCTGAAATATGTAGGATACTAGACTAGCCGGTTAGTCTAGGATTGAATCTGATAGTCAGTCCTTGTCTGGAATCCTGGGACCCGACAAGAGAAAAACTCTGGAACCAGGGTGAAATTGCCAAAGTTCAGTTAAGTTAGGTAGTCTTAGCTCTCGGTTGGCAGGAAGGATTGGCGAAACCAAGACAACCGCACTGGTCTTGTCACGGAGGGGAATGCCCACGTTTCGCTGAAGAATTAGAGGGAATTTTACCTAGATTAATGCTGACGCGAACCAATCGAGATGATCATGGGCTAAAATTCAACTCAGATATTCTGCTCAATTGGAGACAGGGGGTCAAAGGAAGAGTGCGAAGAAACTAAGTAGATACACTAGAGAGGCACGGGGAACTGCAAGCAGCCAGCCACGTACGTACCTTGACTACGGGTTCGCGGAGGGATGTGGATGTGCGGAGATGCAGGTAGAAGCCTGTCAAAGACGAGGGAATTGTTCTGTCAGTTGAGCTTTCAATCTGGGGGATGGAATAAAGCAGAGTAACTGCAATTAGCCGAATCCGCAGTGCACAGCCTCAAAGCTGATGCTTTGATCCTCAAAGGAGCAGGAGTTTAAGGTGAGCTTTGAGCTTACCCTTGAACAGGACGCGAGCCTATTCCTGAAGCTAATAGTCTCGGCAGGGTACTCAAAGGTCTTGAATGCCCAGATGATGCGCAGGATTGGAAATTGGCGCTGGCAGCAATGCCTCTTTAGAAGACGGAGCTATGTACTAGAGTGGATGGTGTTGATCATCGACTGACCCGGAACATGGGCGTCAATTGTAGAATTACCAAGAGTATATCAAGTTGATGATCTTCAATCGACATATCAGACAGATACATATGCAATGATGATGTCGATGATGATGATGATGAAGTTGGCGCCAAAGTGATGCTTTACAGTGGGGCGTTTGCGAAAGCTCCAGCCACTAGCTTAACTCACATTGCAGTTGAGACATCAACAGTTAAGACTAGTATACGGAGTACGGAGTAGACTTAAAGCATTCATTCTTCTGGGAGACTATCTTAGGGCTTAGATATCCAATACCAATCGTAAAACTTTATGCATACAGAGTAAATCCACCAGACTCATCTCAACATGAAACTTCTCCATCCATTCATCGTAGAGCCCACGGTAGGACGAGTCGGTCCATCCACGGATTCTCCAAGGACAAAATCACGCCAAGATGCACTGCCACAATTAGACCCACCGACAATAGTAAGGTAAGCGATCATAGCGCCTGGACTATCTTACTTAGTCGTTTGTACAGTACCACATGTAAATCTCATTGATTAAGGATCATGTTAGACTAAACCATCAGACAGATTCAAACAGACTTGACAGCTCTCAGTGTAGTTTATACAGCGTGATGAACTGATGATAATACTCGGTGGGTTGTATGTGGAAGTCAACACGTGTCCGATGATTGATGCACCTCGTGCCGACAGTCCTATCTGCACTCCGCAGTGCACACGGAAATATATCGGCATCATGTGGCTTGACAACTCATTCATCCTAAGCGCAACCTTTTGTTTGCCCACTTACCCCATTTTTTGTAAAGGAATTGCTTATCATGCGCTGTGCTGTGATCTGGAGACTTGCTCGACTGGCCCAGATTGGTCTGGTTCATTCGTCCGTCACCACCCTTGCAAGCCACTGGATGTTGGCGCTATCAGATGCAGATCCAACGGTGACCTGCTCAGCCACGCCATATGTCTACCAGTTTGTACGGAGTAAGAAGCTCACGGATTCAGAGGCTGACATCCGATTTAGTGGCCCAAGCCACTGTAGAACACACCAAGGCTAATCTGTCATGTTCGATTACCACTTTAGTCTATGAATATCCTCGAACATCCTACTCTCATATAGTCCATAGATACATGTGCGCAGAAAGCGTTCATGCGATCACTAAATAAGTCAGAAGATACAACGAATTCCTCCGCAATAAAATTCACGCGTATACTCCCTGTAGACTAGTGTCAAGCGACATAAACCGCCGAAGTTGCGGACAAGTTAGGATGGCACAGCACCGAGTCCTACTGCGTATCAGCAAACCCCTCGGTATACTCTCAATCGATAAACTCACCTGCTGCATAGGCAAGGTACCACGTCCGGCTTGCTCCTCCGTCAATCCAGCTGTAGTCGAAGTTGGGCTGTGTGAAAAAGTTCCACGAAGCGGCTGGGTCCACCAGTGCGAGATTGGCGTACAGAACGCCCTTCCACCCGCCTACCACGTTCTCGGCTGGGTCTGGGCCGTTGCTTGCAAACATGGCATCCCATTCCTCCTTCACAAACTTCTTGCTGCGAGTAAACGCAGAACAGGGGAGGATGGGTAGCATATGGATCCTGTGTCAAAAATCAGCAATGCAGGTCTTGATAGCGTCAATGGCAATGAAGGGCTCAAAAGTTCATACCCCTGAATATACTCCAGGTTGTTGCCAAAGTAAGTAGTATGGTCCACCTTGTTTTCGAACAACTGCAAGAAATTGTCAGTTGGAGACTAACCCCACAAGACATACGGTAACAATTCTTGACTTACTATGCCCGTAACTTTGTTGGCAATGAAGTTCGCCGGCTGGTTCTTGTTGTCGCTTTCCATCAAAAAGTAATTCCGCATGCTTCGGCGCAAAATGCCCAGCATCAAGTTGCCTCGCGCCTCCATACTAACATCCCCAATAGTCTTTCCCCACATCTTCAGAGCGTACGCAAACATCGCATCTTCCGACGTGGACTCCTCGTCTTTGCCGTCAAAGGACTCGAAAAGACCCTTTGCCCAAGAATGGCCGTGGAACCAGTCGAACCCGCGCGAGAACGGAAAGAGCGGATCGTTTCCGGCTGAGTTTCCAGCGTCACGGACAAGCATATTGACCCAATCTTTGCTGGTTTCCAGCCACTGCGGATCCATGGATCCTATGATTGCAGCAGCATGGATGAAGTACCCGTAGTGGAAATGATGGTCGTTGTACAGCGTATTCCCAAAATCAGCCCCCAAGTCACCAGTGGCATAGCTGGCAGAGGATACCACTCCTTTCCAGACATTGTCGTAGACAAGGGGAAACTGTTGCCTGTTGTCAATGAAACGGGCAAAGGACTGCTTCAACCGCGCAAGGCCCTCGGCCGCAAGAGTGCTGTTACCCCCCAGTTTGTCAACTGTGTACAATAGGGTGGCAAACTTGCTCAGAGCCTTGCCGCTGAAATACATGCTATTGAGATCGGTCTGAGCATCCATATCTTGTTGAAGTTCTGTGGGAGCTGCAGCCAGGATGACCTGCTGGGCAGCGGGCGCTATGCTGTCAATGCTGCCTCCCGAAACCGACCATGGGGCAAAACCCATGGAAATGGGGAGCTCGGGCTCAACCATTGTCCAGTATTCCCCAATGACTGCGGTCGCCTGGCCTTTGGTGGTGGTTCTAAGTGTGATATTCGTCGCTCGGCTTTGTGTACTGGCGTCAAACGATTCCATGTGATGTGGGAGAGCAAACATCAGCAGCGGGGTGCTTTGCGCATCCTTTCCTGCCTTAGCCCACATCAGGTTGTACGTTCCAGTGCTCTCAGATACTGAGCCCATGACCGCGCCCTCGACAGCATAAACACCTGAAGAGTTATCGTAGAACTTCTCACCAGATGCGCCAGCCGGGTTCTTGGCCACCTGGATCGTGCCCGACCAGCCGGCGGGCCCAATGATCTCGCTGTTTGACACCAATTGTAGCTGCGGATCAGTCCCATCGTCAGGGGTTGCGTAGAGAAGCCATGATGTTCCATCTTCAAGGGATAGGCTGTATTTGAATATACCAGCACGTGGGGACCCAGCAGTTACCATTTTGTTGAAGAAGACGCCGCTCTGGATCTTGGGTTGCAAGTTGCTGTAAATGCCAGTCACGAATCCCATACCCTGCACTACAGGAATGGTGATGCTCTGAGATGAGCTGGCGGAAGGTCGTAGAACCGCGTTGGCCGAGAAGGGAAGCGGATTTTCAGTGGTGAGTACGGTAGATGCCCCCAGTTCACTTGCTGAAAGAATAACGGAATGGATGCCGATCGGATTGACATAATATGATATGGGGCTACCAGGAATTGCTGTATTGACCGGGCCCTGCGCGACTACGTTACTCTCGACATGAGAGATCGCCATGCCATAGCTCTGTGACGTTCCACCTCCCCTCACCCAAGCAACGCTGTAGGGGTGCGTAAAAGTACTGTTGGTTTGCGTTCCCAAGAAGAGCCCACAATAGAACTTGTTCGTCTCAACAGGAGTGTCCGTGTTGACCTGTACGGATCAGACAATGCCATCAGAATAACAGGCTTCGGGAGCTTACGATTCCATTCTTAGGTACGGGATGATCGTTCCTCGAGCCAATCGTGTTGGGAATCGGACCAGTCGACACTGGTACAAAGACGTCTTGACCATTTGCCATGTTGGTAGCGGCAGCTACTCATACCTCGTCAGTCAACAAATCAGTGACTGGTGTTGCGGATGGACAACTCACCTAATACTGACTCAGTGGATGACTGACTCTGCTGAGCTGCGTCGCCTGACGTTGCGGAACTTGTCGTCTGGCTTTCAACAGAAGACGAAGTTTCACTCGCTGACATCGAGTCAGAAATCAAGCTTATGTGCATCTGCAATCTCAGACTAACCTGGTTCCAAAGTGCTAGACAAGTTACCGTCTGGAGATGAATAATCTGGCCTAGCCGAGCCAGTATTCTGACCGGTCGATTCTTCGTTGGCTGTAGTCGAGCTTGAGCTGGCAGTTGGCACCACTGGCGGGCTGGTGATTAGTGGCAGTGTGTCCTCTGAGATTGAGGGCTCTGAGGGTGAAGATGAGGTTACAACTGGGGGATTCGTAGTCGGATGCTTGGTGGGAACGGCTTGAGTTGGCGGCTTTAGGCCCGATAATAACAAATCCAGCACACCGGGTTTAGAACCACCTTGAGGATGCAGCAACGGGTCCAATAGATGGCCCAATTTCAAGTCAGTAGGAAAGGGCTGCTCTGCAGAGCGCCCCTCACGTTCCAAACTCGTCGGATAGAACTATTCGAGGTAAGTGACAGCCACGGGCGGGAAATCTATGAACTTACTGCGCGTGCCTCGGGTACTCGCAATCTAGCCTCCTGCGTCGTGGGAGGATATTGGGTCCTGAACTCAACGGTACTGGTCGGCTCGACCGACCAAGGTAGGGAATGTACTGTCTCTGACGCTAAAAGCCAGGTCAGCATGACTGTAGAGCGCCACATGGTTGCCGCGACCATCCTCCTGGCGTGCCTGTGGCGACAGATATCGAAGGACCAGTTGTCTCAAGACCTCAAAGAAGCGCAAGACAACGATACGAAAAGTTACGTATACTGATTTAGTGTTGCAAGGAAAGAATTGAATAGGACCCTTTGTCCCAGGGTCTGAGGTGAACCAGGCCGCAGAGCGCCGCTCTGGAGCCTCAAAGGAGCGAATGCACAGAAGGCAGAATGAGAGTTTAGATGTCAAGTGGAAGTAAAGGAGTGGTGATAGGATTATGGCTTGCAATGAGAGGAAAGAGAGCGATGGGAATGAGTGTATTCAACCCGATTCGTGGCACATAACGTATACTTCTAGTACACTTCCTCTTGGGATAGGCCGGACAACTCGAGGTGAGAGTCGCGAAAGAAACAAAAGGACAGACGAGGCCCAGTAGGGCCAGATAAAGGAAAACATTGCTCACAAATATCAAAATCTCAAATTCCAGTCACGACTAGCGAGAATCTCACCAGGCCGAAGTAGGCTGTTCCCCGTGAGGGTTACCGGATGACCCAAGCTTTGTCTAGTGGACAGACAGCGGAAGGTGACGCGGATGTAGATCTAAACAGACTGTCAGTCAATTGATTGGACTCAATGTGCGATTAGCAGTATGCGTGGTGGACTCGAAAGGGCAAAACAATGCAGGGACGAGGGCACTGGAATGCTTTATCATGGTGATCCGCGTACCAAGCAATCCTGACTAACGGTTGCTAGAGAGGCATCTAGCCGCAAATCTTTCTCCGCAGACTGGTATGAGAGATGGATGACTTACTTACAGGATGCAAATGATTCAATCGGGTGATGCGATCGATGAAAAGGAGGATAGAATGATCGATGATGGAAGATGTAACTGTCGCTGTCGAATCCATTCTGGGCAGGAAGGGTGTGGAGCGGAGCAGGCAGCTGAATAGTCGAATCTTGCAGGCAGATCCATACGCCAACGTAAGCCACACATGAGAGGACTCGTATGGACCGGAAATACGGAGGGTTTGAGGTACATATTGATCGTCAAATTTGTAAAAGATTTCGTCAGGGGTAGGACAGATGCGTAGTTGGATCAAAGGTTATCCGCACATTCCACCATGTTGAGCAGTCGATGCTTGGACAACCTCATGGCTAATGGCGTAATCAGTCAGGTGAAAAACTTTCATAAACTGGTCACCGAGTAGTTTGGCAGGTTTCCGATAATCATTGAGGCCACATGGCTGCTTCGTTTGGGATTCTGTCACCAGAGATCAAAGGAAAGGATACACCAAAGGTTGAGGTTGCAATTGCTGGGGAAGTGAGCTCGTGCGGCTTGTCCTACAGCAACCCCGACATCGCTCACCCGACCTGATCATCTACCTCTATCTACAAGACTACACCTTTGCTTGCGCATGCAAAAACTATCATGCAGACTATGATGATCTACTATTTTGCAGGAAGTACAGATGATTGTGGAAGTTCGAAATATCTGTTCCAATACGCTCCAGGAACGCCGTTCATTACCCCAACTTTTGACACGTTGGTATTGTGACACAACCTAGCGCGTTATAGCACCCAACGCAGCATGAGTATCACAACTATAAAACACAAATCTATAGGGCCCGAAAGGAGATGCTTTAAATCATGGGCTTCTCCATTGGCTTGATGATGCCCTGTTTGATCATCACGCGAGGCTTGGTTGCGTTTTGCAATGTCTCCTTGGTAGACCATTCAGGGCCGATGGGCAGACGCAATGATCTTTCGTACTGTGCCTTGGTCTCGAAAGGATGAGGAAGCTGAGTCGCCATATACTTGGTGTTCTAAAAGAGATCAGTATTCAATCACTCTTGAATCGGTGGAAACGGGAATCGCTTACCTTCCTGATGCGTTTCTCGTTGATGATGACCCGAGAAAGCTTTGCATCCTTTCGGTTCTCAGGCTTGACACCTTCAACCTTGGTCAGGACCTTCTTCTGTCGCCTTTGCTCCCTCTTGCTGACTCCTTCACCGGTCCAGCTGCCCCATCCAGGAAGGGTCTCGTCGATGACCTTGTCACCCTCCTCTTCGATGGTTTCGAGCTTGTCTTGCTCGAACTCTTGGACTACCTCATCTCCAGCGAACGCTCTCTTCACAAGATCATGATTCTTGAGTAGGACTGGCAGACTCTCCTCGTCATCGCTGCCATCGTCGTCCTCGGCTTGGCCTTTCTTATAGCTGATAGTCGACTGATCCTTCTGTTTCTTAGGAGCCTCGACAGTCTCAGCGCCAAGAGTGACATCGATAGTCTGCTGCGAATCATCCGCTGTTGCGCGACGGTTGTTTCGCTTTGTCTGCACCAGCCAAGGATTTTCCTCTTCCGCAGTAGTCTCCTTTTGCTCAGGTGCGCCACCAGATGGCCGCGCAGCCTGGGTTTTCCCCGAGCGCTCAGATGATTTCTTCTTGTTAGACTGATTGACGACAATGCCGACCTCTTGATCAGCCGCGGCGTCCGCCTCATCATCGGAACCTGGTGCCTCTTCAAACTCATTCTTGGGCAACGATTTTTGTTTCTTGTCCTTGCCAGTTTTGTCATCCTGAGACTGGCCGAATTTACGCCGACCAACCTCAGAGTCTGCTTCAGACTGCGACTCTTCTTCGCCGCGAAGTTCTCGGTTGAGTCGTCGAATTTCAGCATCATTTTGGGCTTTGCGTGCGGCCTCTGCGTTCTGCATGAATTTCATGGAGAAAAGTTTTGCATGTGGACCAGTTATCTCTGAGGCATCCACATCATCCCCCTCCAGGCCGTCAAGTTTCTTGCGTAGTTTCTGCTTCTCAGCATCAGAGCCTGCATCTTCTGCCCAAGGATCTTCGTCTTCCGACTCTGAACTGGAGGAACCCAGGTAATCCTCATCCGCTCGGGAAACACTCTTCCCTTCAATTCGCCTCCGCAGCTCTTCTTCCTTCAGGGCCTGTTCTGCTGCACCGCGTCGAGCGTCCTCGTCCCAAGCGGTACGGCCAGTCTGCTTGAGGCTCTTTGCCCACTTGCTATCCTTGTGTTTGGCGCCCATTCTAGCCTCAGCTCGGCGGCGCTCACTCAACTCTCGATCTTCCCCCTCCAAGTCCACGCCAGCTTCCAGAAGAGCTTGTCTTTCCTGCTGCTCTAGACGCTCGCGCTCCTTGCGATGCACACGGCGATACGACTTGCTTTTGATCTTCTTGATTCGCTTGGCCCGTACTTCTTCACGGAATAGCAAATCTCGTTGCTTGCGCAACTCTGCTCGACGGGCTCTAATTTCCTCAATGGGCAACTTTCGTGCCTGCAGCTCCTCAAATTCCTGAACCTGCTCCTCAGTCGATTTGCCGCTCGGATCCGCAAGACCACTTTCAACTAGGATATTTTGAATCGTAGCTTCGAGATCCGTCTGCGGCTTCGTAGGGCCGATTCGGTGTGTTTGCTGGGCATCGGGATCAGGTAGAGGGAACATCAGGTGTTCCGCTCGTCGATTAGCCTTGACAGTCTCGAGCCAGCGGTTCAATGTCTCTTTGCTCTTTTCGTATGCTGCTGCTCGGTCCAGCCGATCTTGATGACGTTTTGCCAGGGGCGCGTCCAGTTTACCAGGTATTCCAGATGACTGCTTGTGAGAAGACGGGGTCGCGTCGACATGCTTTAATGAGCTCTTTAGACGGGAGTCGGTGATGGAGGGCAAGAGGTCGGCAATAGTAAGCTTTCGTGACGAAGTCAGTCCGTACTCCGTAGGCTTAGCGTGCTCTTGTGCGCCTCCTGTTCTCCGAGTTGGCTTGTTTGTAGATTCTGGCTCCAGGGCATTGACGAAGCTCTGTAGTTTTGAAAGACCGTGCTCATCTACTTCGTCGGCCTCGTCACCTGACATTGATAGCCCGCTTTCCTCGTCAGATTCATCGTCGCTCTCTTCGCTGTCCGAGTCATATTCCTCCGACTCATCTGGTTCAGCCTGCTTCTTTTTAGATGCTGCGGCCTTTTCCTTCTCCTCCTCAGCTGTATTTAGATCCCAGGCAGTAGTAAGATCGATGGCATCCTCTCCAAGATCGTCATCATCTTCGTCCATATCTTCGTCTTCCTCCTCTGATTCCTCGACATCCTCGTCCAGGTTGATTTCGCGCACGCGTTTGGATTTCTTCGGCTTCGGCTTCGAACCGGCATTGGTTGTCGAGCTTCCGCGAAATG